AAAAAAAAAAGTTATCTGGTCTCAACCATAGACCAGGGGGGTCCGGCGTTTTGGGAACGCCGGACCCCGAGGAGCAAAAAATTCCGACCGGATTTTGGCAAAAAAAGTCAGTTTTGATTTCGTTCAAAAAATATAATATGTCCGTTTTGACGAAATGGCTGTTATTTCTCGAAATGGATCGAAGCATATCCAATAACTAGCCGAAACTCGCAGGAAGTGGCCTGGTATATTAATCGTTTTTTGTGCATGCACCTGGACATAGAAGAGATACATATGGACAATGGATCCGAGTTGCAGAGGGAAGTAGAGCGACATCTTGTAAGGGCAGACGTTAGAATTTCAAACTCCCCAGGGCACTGGCCTCAAGCCAACGGGCTCGTAGAGAATGCCAACCAAATGATCAAGACTGCACTTAGACGGAATATCACGGCAGGTGATACCAGGCCCTGGCCTGTCATAGTCGACCACATTTTGGCCGTCTATCGGGCTACTCCCCACAGGAGCACCGGGGTGTCCCCGTTCCAACTGAGAACCAATAGCGTCCCCAGAGTGCAGTTGTCACCTCTAGTGGGTACGAAAGTTAGAGTGATCCGGGCCCAACACAAGGACAAAGCCCAGCATTACCTGGATCTGATGGCCCGGACCTATCCTGCGTTAGCCCGAAGACGACAAAGGGCCGTAGATCTGACGCATTAACGGCAGATCCGGGACTATGAGAACCGACACGCGACAAAGGGACCAATGCCCCGTTATAAAATCAGGGACTTGGTGCAGGTACGGAAATCTGCGCGCTCCTCCAAGATCCACCCATGATATACCGGCATTTACGAGGTAACAGAAGTTGGCGCACGAGGACAGCACTCCGTGAAGCTGGTCCCCCGGCATAGCACGCAGGCCAGGTCGCTTACGCGACACGCGACGACTCTTCGTCCGTTTCGGCCATCTCCGGGCCGCGAATCAACTCTTGCCTTGTCCGAGCCTTCGTCCTTTCTCTCCTCCTCTCCTTCTTCGTCTTCTTCCTCTTCCCGATCTGCCTCGTCCCTTGGTGCTGAGAGTTTCAGGGAGTAGGATGAACCATCGCCAGCTGGAGCATGAGCCCCTCGTGCATTTCCAGACGCCGCTTGCAGATCGCTTGTCGCGGCATCAGTTCAACGAGGAAAGGCAGTTGTGATACGATATTCAGCAGGTGAACGTGCTTGCGCCCGGGGTTGCTGATCTGGCGGCGTACTCGTTACTTTGTGATCGGCTGACGTATGCGGGGGTGTACGTGGACGTGACGCAGTTGCCTGGGCGGGAGACGACTCGAGTGTTCATCGAGTTCCGCGCGCTCCAGGTGGCACCTAACTTTGTGCATAGCGTCGCCACCTTTATCGGAGACTTGACGATCCTGCCGCAGCTGAGTCGGGAGCCGGCGAGAAGCTTTTTGCGCGAATACGCGGTGCAGGCGGCCAGATCAGTGGCCAGAGTGCAAGGACGGGGAGGACACCGATTCATAGCCCACGAAGCGCTGTTACGTAGGGCGGAGGACGGAACAATTGCGTTGGTGCCACAACTCCCCGCGCTTCTTCCTCCCGCGGCCCCTCTCAACATCCAAGTTCTTCCCCCTGCCCCGTACTAAATGCCTCCCTTCTTCTCTTACACCACTCTCCCCTATCAACTTACAGAGGGCCCTTATCCTATCTGGTGGAGCTGACTGACGTGGAGCCGCTGCCCTTCGCAGACAAAGACGCATGGGAATTGCACCGAGCGCTATACAAGTCGGTGGTGTTGGGGATGTTCCGGTTCTTCGTGGATCACGAAGATCACTGCATCGGGGAGCACTTCGTCGTTTATTACGTCATCACGCGGCCCAAGCCAACGCAGAAGGAGGGGACGGTGGTGTTGTACCCATTTGCCCAGCTCCAGACGACCGATCCGGGATTGTTGGAACTCATACATCTTGAGCTCCTATCCATTGCGCAAGTGATCGCGAGCGAGGAAGAGGAGGTCCAGCCACGATTGCGAACGGCGGCTGCCCCACGGAGAACGTACAACGCGGTCGTCATCCCGGATTTCATTGTGCAGCGCAAGGAGAGGTTGGAGGACTTCCCTGAGGAAAAGTCGCTGCGACCTCCCTCGTCGTATCCCAGACCTGCACCGCCAAAGGCCCCCAAGAAGATGCCGAAGAGGAAGGGACGCCACCCATCGCCAGGAGCGCAAGGTAGCCGAATCGGTGGCGGCGAGGAGGTGGTTCAGCCTGTGCGCACGTGGAATCTCGGCCCGGTGCCTGGGAGTGCGGAGACGCTGGTTAAGGAGGTTGTCGTGCCATCGCCGCCCTTCCCGCACGTGCCCGATCTCAATCTCGATGGAGCCAGGCCATCAGCCGCAGCAGCCGGAGGAGGAAGCCGAATGGGATTACCGGATCCCGTATCTAGATCCCCCGTCCTCAGGGGACCTTTCCGCTTCCGCCAGCCACCCCGGAGTGCCCCAATCATTGACATTAGTAGTTCCTCCGAGCCGGAACGGTCCATCCGACCGAGGTGGATTTCATGGTGGAGCCCACCCATATCAGGCTCGAGGCCATTGCGGGGGCGCCGCGGTCTGATCCGGCGTGGGAGCCATATTTGACACCCCCTTTTTAAGGGTGTATCGCGGCGCGGCTGGCGGGGACGCTAATCTACGAGACCGGGCACCGTCCTTGTTTTCGCGGCGCAGAAGTGGGAGCGGCGGCCCTACACCGAGACTCATCTGGTGCTGACGGGTCCCGGACCGCGATCGGTGCGCAAACAGGTGGTGCGAGCAGTGGCGGATCTGGCGCCATATGTCCTATCTCATGTGCCGGGGGCCTTTCTCTATCCCTCATTCGTCCAGCACCACTTCCATGAGAAGGACGCGCCGACGACCCCCGCGGCAATGGCCGCTTTTTTTCCACCTATTCCGCCCCCTCTCAATCCCGACATCGATCACTTCCTTTGATCACCCTCGTCTACCTCTCCCCTCTTCTCTCCTTCTCTTTCTCGTTATCGTCTTCTTCTCCCATGCCCAAAGTTCGCGGGTCGAGACGCGCTGTATAATATATATATATATATATATATATATATATATATATATATATATATATATATATATATATATATATATATATATATCGTCACAAACAGAACTGCCCGGTAAACCGTAGGCAGAGAGAGAGAAGAAGACAACAAACGAGGGGCTGTGACAAACTGTTTCGTCAGAGTTTCACCGACTCATCAGGAGGCTGTATATATATATATATTCAGTGGACTACTTACCGATCGGGCCAGCTGACGATGAAGGGGCCACCCGATTATATGTATAATAAGAGGGAGATGACTGACGATGCGAAATGCATCGAAGTAGGATAAGAGATGCTCGGACCAACTGACGATGAAGAGGCCGCCCGAGCATCCAAAATATGATGACATCAGCAGCCGAGAGACTGCTAATTTTTCGGAACCCCCTGCGTATCACAGATGTGATAAGCTCAGACCCGTACCCCGCGGCTTGCCGTATCCCTGAGGAAAAATCCCTCGGAAGCCCCGAAATACGGATGCGAACAAAAAGGGATTTTCTTTCTTTTTACTTTTTGTTTTCTTTTTGAAACGGTTTTTGCATTTTTTTTGTTAATAACTCCCGCGCGGGCGAATAGCGGCCGCGGTATGAAAACCAAGAAACGGTTTCGGTTGGGACTTTTTGAATTTTGCGTGCGCGCGCCTAAGCTCCGACTTCTTCGCGCGTTTCGCACCCCCGTTTCTTGCTTTGCATCCCCGCGCCATCTTCCTTTCTTGCTGTGTGCGTCTCCCCCATGCATGACTCTTCGTCTTTCCCTAAGCCCAACTCGATCCTTACCCCGTCGTCCTCTGCAAAGTGATTGGCTGCGTAGTTGGGATGCTCCGATCAATGTGGAGAGCTGTAAAACGCGCACCACTTGAACGAACACCCCAATCACGTAGGACCATGCAACCCCGCGGGTCGAACCCTCTGACCCCCCCCCACCTTTCTTCTGTCCTGCTCATCTACACCCTGCGCTGCCCGCACCTCACGCTGACAACCCGCCGCCTCACGCTCTATAAATTCGTGCAACCCTCTCCTCCCTCTCTTTTGATCTCGGCTGCAATGCTGCGCGAGCTATGCGCGAAGTCCGCGGCACCGAACAGGCTCGATGAGCCCAAGGACGGGCGGAGTGACGACGCGGGGTGGACCCGCGGTAGACTCGGGGCGAAGCAATCGGGGGGGACTGAGCAGTGGTGGGGATTGGACGCCAGCCGCGGCAGGGCCTTGTAGCTATGGTGGTCGGTGGTCTTGGGAAGTTTTGAAGGCTGCGCTTGGGGGCAGCAGTTAATTGAGAATTTTTGTATACAAGAAGGACTTGCTTTTATCTCCATTGCTGCTTTGTCTATGCATGGCGTGTGTGTGAGGCCCCGAGTGATGGGAGCTTGTCGTGCGCATGACTGATGTCGAAGGTCTATGGATGATTGGATGTCCTGTCAAGGGTCGATTGAGTGTATGCAGGTATGTGTGTATGTACTTATCCGGGCGGGGACGGGGGAACTGAACTGGAGGACCGTCTGCTTAGGAGTATGAGTGTGTTAATCCCGTTGTTCCCCTCCCTTCCGCG